ATTAGAGATCCTCACCGACATTATCAATGATACGTGTAGGCTGCAGCAGTTTCCAGCCCAGTGCCTAATCAATTTGGTTGCCCTGAAACCCAAGACAGAGGTCAGCGACCGCCCTATTACTTTGACGAACGCACCGTACCGTGTCACCATGCGCCTATTCAAGGGCCAGAACTCCTCCTGGGAAGAGGCACGGGCAGGATTCTGGGACGCAGCTATCAAAGGCAGTGGTTGTTTAAGGGCAGCCCTCATCAGCGAGCTTTTTGCAGAGATCAGCAGCTCTCTCAAGTGCTCCATCATCGAGGGCGTTTTAGACCTCGAAAAGCTTTTCGACGCGATCCGCCAGCACACGCTGGCTGATGGTCCACACGTGTACCAGAGTCCTCACGACGCCGATTGGAGTCAGCGAGCCCCTCATCCCGATGGCCTCAATCCTCCAAGGGTGCGGGCAAAGCGTTTCCTGGACAAGGGCCCTCCTGTACGACGTCCTCGAGAGAGCCCACTACCAGATCCCAAGGCCCACGGTCCGAACTTGGGTGGGCGACATCAGGGCCCGTCTTGTGGGGGGCCTTGAGGCCCTGAGAGAAGCCTTCCCAATGCTCATCATACAGTTATGTGGAGAACTCGCTGACCTAGGATGCCGTCTCTCTGGTAAGTCCGTGGCCCTGGCCAGCTCCAACGACATCCGCACCGACAAACTCAACCAGGCAGGGGTCCAGATCAGACCCGTCCAGCACGCTCGGGAACTGGGGGTCGACACTACGATCGGGAAGAAAAGGGCCCTGGGCGTCCGCCGAACCCGACGTCGTCTCGGAGTGCAGAGGCACAAGAACATCAAGAAGCTGGCCAAGACTACAATCAAGGCGCGATCACTTTTCCGCACAGGCGCTCTACCGCAGCTGAAGCGGGGCATGGGGGGACACGGATCAGCACCGACTGAAGTCCAGCATTTCCGCCGATTGGCGGGAGCGGCACATGGAGTTTCCAAAGCAGGGGCCTGTCTTACCACTGGCCTCCATACCCGTCCAGGACACCCATCCAACATGGATCCAGGGATCTATCTTCGGGCCCAGCTGTTCACGATGTGTTTTCGGGTTATCAATACCAAACTCAGCATCCCCGGAGGCATCCAGAAGGCTTGGGAGACTCTGGAGGCGAAGCTCAAGAGACCATCAAGGTGGCTCACGGTCAGGTCCCACATGTCCGCGATCATTGCCACCCTGTACGACCTAGGCTGGGCCCCTACCTCGGCATGGCTCTGGAGGGGCCCCGAGGGCCTCGATTTCCCCGTCAAGCCGCTGAGCTGGGACCGCCAGAAGGTTTGCATGTTTCACTTGGAGTTCCTCTTGAACACGCATGTGTGGAAAGCTACCTACCCTCTCAGTCATAACTCTGGAGGCCTCCAGGAGGGGGGGGGGACGTGTACTCCCTGCGGCTCTACCCTGCCAGAAAGCGGGCCGCCATCAAGAAGCGGGAGAAGCAGCTAGCCGAGCACCCCCTCCCCCGAGCCCAACAAGTCCAGGCCAAGGAGGAACTCCAGCGAGAAACAACTTTCCCATCAGCTTTAGAGGCCGTTTCCTGCTCGAGGTGCTGGAGCGCCCGTCGCAGGTTTGAGAGCGGCCAGCAGGATGACGCAGAATGTCCTCGCTGTGGGCAAGAACACGGAGATGATTTACACAAATGTTGGACGTGTCCTGAATTGGGAAGTCCCAACATCCCCGCCATCAATCGGACTCAGGGCTCCATAGACCGGGCAGTGGCAGAGTCCCCAACGGAACCCAGTCTCTGGCTCCGAGGAATCATCCCCGCCACGATCATTCGCCAAGTCCATGGACACATTCTGGGACTAGATCAGGACACAATCCGAAAAGGAGTATTTGAACAGCATGCAGTTTATCAGTTCGATGGCTGGCAAGTGGCAGCCACAGACGGCAGTGGAGGGCCTCATACGCAGGACCCGCGCACCAGAGTCTGTGGCTGGAGCGTATCCCTGTGGGCACACGACCTCACCTGGAAAGGAACCATCCAGGGAGGCATCATCGGCCCGCAGACGGTACCGCTGGCGGAGCTCGAGGCAGTCATTGCGCTGCTGGAGTCCACCCGCGGCCGCCTCATTATCGTGATTGACTGTGCCTATGTGATCAAGGGCTTCAACAGAGGCCCCCGCTTTCGGCACCCCAAGAACCAGTACACGTGGCAGAAGTTCTGGACCCAGGCCAAAAACCGACGGGACAACACGATCTTCTACAAAGTAAAAAAAGAAAACAAAAAAAAAAAAAAAAAAAAAACAAAAAAAAAAAAACACAACAAAAAAAAAAAAAAAAAAAAAAAAAAAAAAAAAAAAAGAAAAAAAAAAAAAAAAAAAAAAAAACAAAAAAAAAAAAAAAAAAAAAAAAAAAAAAAAAAAAAAAAAAAAAAAAAAAAAAAAAAAAAAAAAAAAAAAAAAAAAAAAACAAACAAAAAAAAAAAAAAAAAACAAAACAAAAAAAAAAAAAAAAAAAAAAAAAAAAAAAAAAAAAAAAACAAAAAAAAAAAAAAAAAAAAAAAAAAAAAAAAAAAAAAAAAAAAAAAAAAAAAAGGGGGCCACCCCACGGAGGAAGAAACCGCTCGAGAGCCTCCATGGGCCCTACACCTCAATGGCCATGCCGACATTCTCGCTGCGGAAGCAGCACAGTGGCGTCAAGTCCCAGGGCCCCTCGTTCGACACCTCCAAGGCACCGACATGCACGCCGATCTCATCAGGGACAGAATGGCAGCAGTTCCGACCCACTACTGGAGTCACAAAGACCCACTGGGCCTCGAGGAGGATGAGGATGTCAAGGAGAACCGTAGGAAAGTGAAGGTGGAGCGCAGTGTAGCAGCTTTGCAGGTCGAGCTGTCTAGGACGCCCCACTCCCTCTCCGCTGCTCCTGTCCCTCCTCTTTTCCAGATTGCTTGTCTCGCTTGCGGCAAGCAAAGTAGTGTCCTCAAGGGAACACCCAGGTGGCTCAAGGCCCCCTGCGTCCCCCCAGGGCCGCAAAATCGGTTTCATCCGTCCCACGGGCCGTTCATCAAGAAGTTGAATGGTGTCCTCTGGTGCTCCCGATGTGGAGCCTGGACCATCCGTGCAGCCAAGAAATTCAGGGAGCAGTGTGCACCACCAACAGAGGGTGGCATCAAGGCGCTCCAGGAGCTTACCCAAGGTAAGCCACCGCCAGGCCTCAAAGCCTGGCCCGATGGACCCACATGAAGTCCACTCAGGCTGCTCCCACGCGGGGAGACCAGGACAGCTGCGGAGGCGCGAGCGCGGGGAGGAGGAGGAGGAGGAGGAGGAGGAGGAGGAGGAGGAGGAGGTCCTCCCGCAGCACCCGCGGCACCCCGCGGCCGCAGGAGCCCCAGACGAACGGCACAACGCCCAAGCCTCCCGCCCGCTTGGCGGCCCGCGCAGGCCACGGGCGCCCTCTCGGAAGGCGTCCGGGGGCACACGAGTAAACGTACACTGGGTTTCTTAATAAGCGCTGGGGGGTACCCCTCTCATCCTCCTCCTCCTCCTCCTCCTCCTCCTCCTCCTCCTCCTCCTCCTCCTCCTCTACCTACCCACCTCAGCCAATATCCACATCACCCCTATCACATCCTCCACCCACTGCCCTGCCTCAGCCTACTCTGGGTGGGTTTCTCAATCAGCGTCGGGGGGACCCCCCCCGACGAGGGTCAACCTCGCCTCGTCGTCGCGCCGCGACGGGGGTCGGAGCGCCTGCGGCGCGCGGTGGCTGCCCTCGACGGGGGCGGATGCGGGGCTGTCGGCGGGGGTGACGCCCCCCTGACGCTTGTTAAGAAACTCGGGGTGCACAAATCCCAGGACTCCCCATACTTGCCCATATCGTCTGGATGTGCGGCTTCCCCTCCACTCCCCACAATTTCCACATCTTTCTCCCCGGGGGAGCGGCGAAGACTCGTGCCGCCGTGCGTGCTTTGTCCACTCCCGATGTTCTCCTCCTCTTGCTCCACGAATCCGTTTTTTGGTGGCGAGCGAGGGGGCAAGAGGCAAAGAGAGGGCCTCCCGAGAAGGCGGCGGGGCTCCTCGGACGCCCCCAAGCCTCCCGAGGAGTTCTGCGCGTCTTCGGGGAAGACTTCGAGAACTTCTCAGAAGGTCCGGGGACTTCCCAGCCTTTTGCGAAGGCCAGCTCCCTGTCCCCCCTGGGCTCGCCGCCGAATCCTTGCGTCTCGATAGCGCCCGTGGCCGACCCCCCCTCACCCTGCTCCCCCATGCCCAGGCATTCCCGAACGGCGCCGGCACGAGCAGCGACGTGACGGGCTCCCTACCCCCTCCCCCCTTCCCGACCACGCCCATTCATTACCAGCCTCGAACGTATCCCTATCCCTAAGGTTGACACGCCAAAAGGCGATGACAACCTAAGGGATTCGCCCTCAAAAAGTAAGGGAATCCTTAAGATTGGCATCGTGATGAGGAGGTGCCCAGCATAGGGATAGGGATATGTTCCAGGCTGGTGAATTCAGAGGAACCGAAAATCGGGGATGGACAGATCTCCTGAAAACGACCTCGGGCCTAAACCTGGCGGGCGCAAGACTGGAAAATGACGGCCGCGGCGCCCTCTCGAGAACCGAAAACGGACAATTCACTAATCGACGTGTCAGGGTAGGAGGTGTCCACCCCCGAAAAAACAGCAGAAACAGAATGCCTCGAGGCTCCCCCTGGCGGCGCCTTCGGCGACGCACCTCGGCGCGCACCTCGCGCGCCACGGAGGACGGGCCGACGCCGATCCAAGATATCTGCGCGGACCTCCGAGAAATCTCACGTTCACGACGTGCTTCGGTCTTCGACTGGCCATCGCTCGGACGTCCATTCCCTGTGTTTTTTTGTCGGTTTCGTGCGTGGCTTTTTCGCCAAATGATCTAGGATGCTCCTCGATGGTCCTCGCCGAAGGAAAAATGCACACGTCCGAGCGATGCAAAGTCGACCGTCTATCGCCCGGGGATGCAGAAAACGAGCTCCGGCCCCAAGCCCTCCAACGGTAGCTTCCCACAGCTGCGGCAGGGTGCGGGTGTTCGTGACGTGAGCGCAGTAGCCCAGCAGGAAGAAGGACACCGCTGAGAGCGCCCCGCAGAACATCAGCGCGCCTGAGCACCCCACAGGGAGCAGGCCCATCGCAGAGGAAGAGCAGAAGGCACAGACATAAACCGCTGGAGGTCCGGCGACAGTTCATGTTCATGCTGTTTGTTCTTCTTCGGCATAGGCAGCAGATTTGGGGCACTCCCCCTCGTTCTGCCCCCGCCTCCGTCCCCCATCCCTCCCGCTCGTCCTCTGCAGCCTCGGCCATCCTCCCCCCTCATGCTCCCTGCCCCCTCCTCCCTCCGCCGCTCCTCCAATTTCTCTTCCAATAGCCTCCCACGCATCCCTCCGCCACCTGCTCCGTGCCCGTGCTTCCTCCACTCCTCCTCCATCCACTCCGCCTCCCTATTCCTCTCTTTCCTTCCCCCTCCCTCCCAACGATCCCAACTCGTCCCGTTTCTCCCCCCATCGTTCACTTTCAGTTCTCTGCTCCTGTCGCACACCTCCTTTCCCCACCATTGTCCCCCCTTCTCATCCCTCCTACCCAGCTCACCCATGCTCCTTTCGTCTCGTCATCAGCCTCGCTCTTCCTGTCAAGAAGAAGAAGCATTGTATACACAGAATTCATGAGAGGTTCGCGCGGATTTCTTGGATCGGCGCTGGACCACCCTCCTTGGCGCGCGGAGCGCGCCAGGGGCGGCCGCCGGAGGCGCCGTCATAGGGGGCCTGAACCGAGCCGAGAAACCCGCCGCGACCTCATAATATGTGTATATATACAACTAGCACCTAAGAACCACGCGCGCGCTTCGCGCGCGCTTAGGTTTTCTAGCTAGGACTGGGGGCTGCAGAAGGTCGCAAGGACACGGAATCTGAAGGGAAAGAGAGACAATAGAGAGAAGAAGGGATAGAGAGACCAGATAGACAGAGGCCGGAAGGAAAGATAGAGAGAGAGAGATGGAGAGGAGAGAGAGGCATAGAGAGGAAATGAGAGGAGGCGAGCTTGAGTCAACGAAAGTCGCAGGGACGGGGGCAGGGGGAAGAAGGCCAGAGAGCGCTGAAGGATACAAATACTGGAATCCTCTTGGGATTTTTTGGGGGCCTCGTCCGGCCGCTCGCTGGGAGTTTGACGTAGCTTCTCGGGAGCCTCTGAACCTGTCGGGGGCCTCCTGTAAGCAGGTTCGAAGCATTTTGGGGGCCGATTTGGGGCTTCTCGGGGCCTCCTTTGGGCCTCTTGGGGGTCTCCTGGGGCCTCTTGAGGGGCCTCCTTGGGGCCTCCTGGCGGCCTCTTGGGGCGAAGGCTCGAGCTTGCGGTTCGTGGTCCCCCTCTGGGCCCCCTCTTGGGCCCGTCTTGGGGCCCTCTTGGGCCATCTTGGGCGCCTCTTGGGCCGTCTTGGGGCCCTCTTGGGCTGTCCTGGGGCCCTCTTGGAAGCTTCTTGGGCCGTCTTTGGGCGGTCTTGGGCGCCTCTTGGGCCGTCCTGTAACGTCGGAAAGACCAAAAGGCAACTTTGTGAAAAATGCACGTTTTACGAAGGGAATGGGCCAATGTTTGCGTCTACGGGCCCTCTTGGGACGCATGTTGGAGGCTTCTTGGGGCGTATTGGGGGCGTCCTTGGACGTCTGGAGGCCATATTCAGCATCTTGGAGCCCTCTTGGAGGCCTCTTGGAAGTTTCTTGGGCCATCTTGGGCGCTTCTTGGGCCGTCTTGTCTGACCGTTGAGGCCTCTGGCAGCCCCGACGGGCCTCCGGGCCCCCCGGGGCCCACATTTGTGGTCGAGGTCCCGGCCCCGGGGGCCCCGGACCCGGTGCGCCGTTATATGTATATGTGTATGCAGTTTATTTGGTTCTCGATCCCCAGCATCAGACCGAAGGCGTACTGTTAGTGCAATTGGATGTGTTGCTGGGGAACGTGCGCAACACACACTACGGACAGGAGAAGCGTTAAGCAAGCGCACTGCTCGCTGACACAACTCGAACTACCGAAGGACGCCACGCCCTTTTTGATCCAAGGAGAAGCGGAAGAGCGAGGCAGGATAACTAAACAGCGGCATGCGAACCAGTCAGCGTCCTCGTCCCTACTTGGAGGCGGCCAGGGGGTCTGAATTAACTGGGACGTCAGAAGATCGGCCAGGAGGTGGGATGAGGCCACATCGGCACAAAATTTGTACCCAGACCCCTCCGGGGCTCCATCTGGCGCAATTTTCCACCCAGGATCAATTTTTTATGGTCCTGGGGCCCAAAAACGGCCCGCAGAGGCCCGAAAAAGGCAACACACCTTTCCGAACCCAGAACCATGAACCTGCCCGCCCGCCCTGCTGGCCGGAACCAACGCGGGGCCACCTCAGCCCCCCAGCCGGCTCCAAGCCTCTTCCCCGCCATCCGAAGCATGACCATCAGCGCCACCATCAACATCATCAATCCTCCTCGCCTCCTTCCCCCCTCCCTCCTCTCAACGTCCCACGCCGTCCCCTCTTCCTGCCCCTGCCCTCCCTTCAGCCGGGAACCCGGAAGCGGGAACCCGGGAACCCAGCCCGCTACTAAAATCGGCGGGAAACGTTCGCCAAATCTTTCAATATCCGCTAGAAACCCTTCAACGCAAACACTGATTGGGGAGTATCCGCTTGCAGCGCTCTCGGCGACAAGGACGGAGGAGAGAACCGCGCCTCTGTTGCCTCCCGCCACCTCGCGAGCAAAATGTGCTGCGCGGATCACAAGAGCGCGTTCCTTTATTTTCAGCCATAATGGGCATTAAAGGGGGGAGGAGGGGCCAGGGGGGGTCTAATGTAACGCCTCCCCCTCGCCGAGCGCACGGCGGCAATGCCCGGAGCGCACTGGGGGGGGGGGGGGGGGCGTTACGTGAAAGGTGGGGGGGGAGGGGGGCCAGGGGCTATAATGCCCATGGTGCCCCAAGTAGAAAAGAAACACGCTCAAACGCAAACCCAAACCCCACCTCGATCCTGCGAGGACGGAGGAGGCAAGGAAACATGAAGGGGCCCTGGGACGCACAAATAAACACACACAAATAAAAGGATCCCCCACATTTTCCTACATCTTCTGGGTTTCTGTCTCCCCCCCCAGTTCCCACATTGTCCAATATTTTCTGGGAGATCCTCCTGAAAATATAGAGCAGCGGGAGGAAGGCCCAGAGGCGGGACCCACTGGCCCCCGAAACCCGCGCGGAGCGACCGCTCACGGAGCACAACGGGCGCCGGCGTCGAGGGGCAAGAGAAGCGGCTCCGACCCGTGCGGTGGGGGAGGGCGGCCCTGGGTTTATGTTGCTCCCATCCTACTTAAAGACCACATCCCAAAAATAATTTCGAGCACCCGGAAAAGTGTCAAAAGAGTGTCGAAACAATGTCGGGCGAGTGCCTCCCCAGGCCTGGCACGTGAAAACCCTTGAGTTTCGGTACCTCTTTCTGGTGCTCGAAAATCTTTCTGGTGCTCAAGGCTAAAATAGGCTGGAACATCATAACCCTGGGTCAGAATGCCGCCCCCGCCGGGGGTCCAGGCAGGGTCCGGGGGGGGGACGCCAGCGGGGGGCCCAGGGGGGGTGTCCCGCCTTCAGAGTCTGCGGCACAGACCGTATAGGGCCTGCACGACACATAGCCACCCGCACCTGCTGACAAGAGTGAGGGGGCGGCGGGTCGTCGGCAGTCTGCAAAAGTCTGAACGAGGCTGCTGCAGGCACAGATTGTCAGACATTACACACAAAGAGCCCGCCGCAAGCGCCAATTCTTTCGTTAAAGCAACATGGCTGAGTCGCGGGTGGGTCGCAGGGTGGTTCGTGGGGGGTGGGTCGCGCGGGCGGTGCGGGGTGTCGCGGGTGGGTCGCAGGCGGGTCGCGAGCGAGGGCGACGACAACAACGCAACAACGCAGAGCAACGGAGCGCCAAAAAGTCCGCCCCGCAGAACCCCACTTCAGCAATTCACCCAGGCACAGTGGATGACCGTTCGGCGACGTCGCTCTCATCTTGTGTAGGGCCGAAGGGTCAGGTCTGCAGACACGCAGGAACGGGCGTCACGGGGTGCAACCACTCTGCGCGCTTTAACCGCGCGCTTGAAACGCCCGCCCCCCTTGATTCACTTCCTTGACGCCCCCCCCTTGATGCACCACCTTGGTGCACCCCCTTGACGCCCCCCCTTGATGCAATGCACCCCCATGAACGTCCCCCTTTTTGCTGGTCCTGCAGAGGATGGCGTTCTCTGACTCCCAGCCTTACACTCGACCAGGATAGCAAGGATGCGCGGTGAGGATGCAAGGGCCCTGGAACGCCATGCTGACGCTTTCCATGCGGAGCGCAGCAGAATGCGGGAAGGGTGCCGCAAATTCGAAGGGGCAGGGATGCAAGGGTAGCCTTGGAAAGCTGCCCCATCCTTACTATCATGGTTGACTGTACAATCGGACTTCGTTGGACAGGACACGCGACAGGACGAAAGACCCTTCCGGTGGCCACGCTACCACAGGAGTGCAGGAGGCACGGGCCGCGAGACACAGGACACAGAAGTACCTTGACCTGGCAAGGTCGACCTACTGATCCGGGCCGACTGCACTCCACCTCGCCATCGCTCGGACGTCCATTTCCCGTGCAATTTGTCGGTTCGAGCGTGTTTTATTTGCTCGATGGTCCAGGATGGTCCTCGATGGTCCTCGCCGGAAAAATATGCACACGTCCGAGCGATGCCAAGCCACTCTGATCTGCATGACCGTACCGTACCCGTCGGTTGGACGACGTGGACAGGCACGTGCAGGAGAGAGGGCGCTGGAAGCACGCGGACCTTCGCGCCCGCCCTCTGCGCACGGAGGAGAAGGGGAACCACCCCATCCTTGACTCAAGGGGCACAGAGACACACACACATATGTATATACATACACAAATAGCAGGATGCCCCATGTGTTCCCATATGTTCTGGGTGTTCGTCTTCCCCCCCACGTCTCATAGGTTCCCCTATGCTCCTTGGAGTCGGCGATTAACTGTGCCTGTGTTTTTGTTGCCCCTCCTGATTGATGTGGGGATGCGCATAGACAGCATGCTGAAATCCAGGGCGTCCATCAAATTCAAACTTGCAACGGCCGATGGGTGGGGGAAACCAGACATCTGCTCACGATCGCGGCTCATGATCTTAACTCGTCTTAAGCCTCGGCCTCCCCCCCTCTGCTCATCGGCGATGGAGAGGTGGGGATGGAGAAGGAGGGAGGAAGAGGAGGAGGAGGAGGAGGAGGAGGAGGAGGAGGAGGAAAAGGGAAAGAGGACGAAGAAAAGGATCGAGAGGATGGAGGAGGGCGCAGGGGGCGGTGGAGGAGGAAACGGGGAGGTGGGTGGAGGAGGAAGCAGGGGCAGAAGAGCACGTTGGGGGGCGGGGGGGCAGAAAGGGGGAAGACGACGAGGCCCCCCCCCCCAGCGCGCCCACGGCCAGGAGCACGGAGCAGTCCGCGAACGCCCGGGGGAGGGTCAGCATGCCGATGCCCACCATGGACTTCGTGAGGTTGGCCACCGATGCCGAGAACGAGGAGGTGCCTGCCCTCCTCGCGATCAGAGCCCCGCCCCCCCGCCTCCGCGGCCGCCCCGACGTGGGCAGGCCCCCAGCGCTGCCGCGGCTCTGCGAGTGCGACAACTCGCAGTGCTGCCAGAAGGAACGCCGAACAAGGAACGAAGCCACTGTCTGGCCCCGTGAGCGCCTGCGTGGACAAGGAGGGCTGGAGGAGCAGCCAAGGAAGGACCCGAGGAACGTCGAGCCCCTGCCGAACCCAAACCGTCCCTCATTTCAGCGCCTCGGCTGTTCGACAAGAGCCCTCCTCCTGCGCGTGTCCAGAGCAGGCGGATCCAGTGCTGCTGCGTCTCTTGGCGAAGACCTGATGGGCCTGTTTTCCACCACGACCACCAGAAGTTGGAGGAGGAGGGGTCCTCCTCCTCCTCCTCCTCTTCCACCTCCTCCTCCACCTCCTCCTCCTCGTCCTCGACACAGCCTTGGCGCAACATGAATCTATGACACCTCCTGCCACTGGCGCCGCCACGCCAGCACGCGTGGGTGGCGCCCGCAGCCACGTTCGCCACCTACGCCGCTGACGTGGGTGGCGCCTGACTGCCGCTTGCGCCACCATCTGCAGAGGCAGATGGGCGGCGCTCTCCAAAACCATGCCCCGAGGAGGCCTCATGCACGCGAGGCGCCCCGGAAGCAACCAGCGGCTGCACAAGCTAGCGCCACTGATTATTGACGGAAAACCTGTCTTTCGCCAGATTCTCGGAACACGTGCGCCCCAGGAACCGTGGGAGTTGCGGTCCCGAACACGTGCCAACAAGCCTGGCGGAGACGATGGTCCCCCCCGCCCCACACACGCAGCACACCACACACCTTTGGCCCCCCACAAGCTGGAACGAGTGCGCAGCATGCGGCTTGCCGCCCTCTCCAACGACTCTCACATGAGCAGTGTCAGCTCTGGAGAGGACAGGCGGCGCGCTGGTCGGCGGGGCAAAGAAGTCGAGCGCGGGCACTTGCTGGCGGCGCAGCTTCGCACTGCGAGCATCCCGTTTCGAAATATGGAAAGCATCTAAGTCGGCCATGGGCGGTCCAACGCGCGCAACCCTGGTGGCCCAGACACGAGCACTTTAGCCTTGGCCGTGGTTGCGCTGCGCACCTCCTCGGGAATGCGAGAGCGAGAACGCTGCCTGCCTTTAACCAACCCGTCTCGCGCCCACTCTGCACCGCAGCGCGCGCGCGATGCGAGCGCACCCGGATATCGCGCACATGCTCAATCCCCCCCCAGTCCTCTACCCGCCCCAAGACTTGTTTCCATATCTCGGCCCGCGTCGAGCGAGAGGAAGTGCAGGGCGCGCGTCCACGCACATGCAAGCCATCGTGCACAAACGAGCTGTCAGTGTACAGCGTGGAGCCTGGGATGCTGTTCTGGAGGGCCCTGGAAACCCGAAGGAAAGGGCCTACATCCCCATCTGCCGGGGCAGATCGGCCAGTGGGGCCCAGGCCACGCCGGTGGGGATGGGGATCGGTTAAAGGATGCCCAACTTCGATGGATTCCGATTCCGATCCGTTTCGACATCGGACTCCGATTTGGGATCCGATTTCTCAACGGAGACCTGCTAGCCTGCCGATGTCTACCCGTTCGACTTTTCCCGACTCGGCTGCCGACTTCCGCCGGTCCGATTCATTTCGATCGCCGACTCGATTTATCGATTCGATTCGGGGCTCTCCTGTGATGGTGCCTGACGTTAAACAAACGACTTCCACTACTCGCAAAGTAGCTACTCGCGAACGGCCTGGACCCGCCGCGGGGGTCTACAATACAGCACATCGAGCCGAGCATGTGTTGTTTTGACGTTTGCGAGTAGGCGCTTTGCAAGTGGTGGGACGCGCTGGGTGGGACGTGCTGCACGTCCCCCATCACAGGCCACCCATGCACGCTGGAGCGCGCGCACTGCTGCGGCATCGGGGACGGAAGCGGCCGCCCGTGCGCATACAGCCACCGCGCACGAGAAGGACTCACTATAATGATGCAGGGGCCTTGGAAGGCCATGCCCATACCTTCCCAGCGGTGCGCGGCCAGCGCAAACTGCCCGATGGAGCTGAAGGGCGAAGAATGCAAGGGTAACCTTGGATGTTGGACGCCCGAATGATCCGGGAGAACCAGGGTCCGGGATAACTCCGGTCTGGGTCCCCGGGGCACGTATCTGCAGTTACCCCCGACCGCCCCCGGCCCTGATGCTTCGGGGTGCCTTTGGAGAGCGGCTCATCCTAGGTCGGGCGTGTCCCCCGACAGGAGGATTTTGGACGAAAAATATGACATACTCAAACATGGCCCACAGATGCCCCAGAATACCACAAAACTAGTCCCCAGAGAATTTTTTGACTATTTTGGAACATTCCCCCTGTAGAGGGACAGGCCCTGGGAGGGCGGCCGACGCCCAACGCCGAGGCCCGCAGAGAGGGGGCAGGAGCGGCCGCATCCGGCCGAGGCGGAGGCGACGCGGGCGCCGAGCGGGCGGACCTCGTGGCCCTCACCTTCCCTGTCGATGGCGCCCTCCTCGGGGGGGGGGGGTCCGGAAGAGAGAGTCAAAGAGAGCAGTTAGGCACAAGGAAAACGGCGACACCAGCACCACCGGGGGCGAGGAGATGCGCGGAGGCAAGGGGGGGCTCCCTGGCGGCGTGGTCCCCCCCTCTCGCTCGAGACATCCTCAGTCTCCCGCTCGGGGAGGCATTGTGGACCTCCTCGCTGGAGGTGGGCCCCCTGGTGGTGTTGGTATCGCTTCCCCTCCCTCCGATGAAGGGGGGGGCCCGGAAGAGAGAGTCGAACAGAACAGTGGGTCCAAGGCGCGATGGCACAGCGACCTTACGCGGTGTCTCACGCGGGCCGCCAGCGCGGCATGCTGCATGGGAGACGAGGGCGCTCACGCGCGGCCCTACGCGGGCAGCTTACGCACGGATGTCGGCGCAGGCGCCCCCGTTCCTTCCGACGCTCAGCTGGGCTCGTCAAGCCGGCCTGGTTGCCCCCAAAAATGCACCACCTGTTCCACCCAGATTGCCCCCCGCCCGCCGCCCCCGCGTGTTTCCCAACTCAGGCCCCTCTTCCCGAACCGCTCCTTTTCCTGCCCCCATCCATTCGCGCGGGGGATGGACTACAGAATTGATGTACCCCAAACTTGATTTCCCGCCGAATCTACGGAACAATGCGTATAGTGCCCCGTAGATCTACGAAGATTGTACCTGCTTCTTGTATGATCGGCGGGAAAATCAACTCTGGAGTAAATCCATTCTGTAGGTGAACCATGCCTGCACCCACTCATGTCCTTCCCTCGGGGCACCGTCGTTCGGGGTCCAGTCCCTCGACGGCACCCTCGACGGCACCATGCTGCCGACCTCGCTGAGGACGCTGCTGCGGATGCTCGACGTCCTCGCCGCATCCAGCGGTCGAGGAGAGGACGACAGAATACAGCCCAGCCCAGGATGCGTCAATGATGCTACAATAAGCCAGCCCCAAGCCTCCTCCTCGGGTCAACGTTTTCTTGTTCGGCGTTTCGACGCTGGGCGGAAAAGGAGGGGGGGTCTGGCTCCAGGGGAGTGCGAATGCCCGCGCCGATCGGCAAAACAATGAATCAGAAAACGATCACAAGTCCCTAGAACTATCCTGCTCCATTGCGGGAAATTGCCGCCCTGGAATGGCATAGGTCACCTAACCTCGCGCATCGCGCCCTGCGATGCGCGCGCCCTGGCAAAATCACCTTTCGGGGAGCTTCTGACCCGGGTCAATCCAGACCCGGGTCAGTCAGGCCTTGCAGACTCCTGCAGGATCCTGCGCCCAAGCCCGGTTCAATGCTCCCCTGGCCCTGCAGGGTCCTGCCAGATCCTGCAGGATCCTGCACCCAAGCCGGGTTCAGTGCGACCGTGGCCCGGACCCTGCAGGGTCCGGCAAGATCCTGCGGGATCCTGCACCCAAGCCAGGTTCGATGCGACCCTGGCCCTGCAGGACCCTGCAAGACCGGGCGCTCTGGCCGAGCCCCGCCTGCCTTGACCCCCCGTCTCTGGAGCCCCGAGCCTTGGAGAAGGGCATCTCTCCGGCCCAGGCCACGAAGCGCGAAGCGCGACGATCTTTGACGGACGAACAGCACACGCCCACTACCCAGAGGGAGGTCGGAGGGAAAAGGACTGGCTATGGGTATGGGTGCGGGTTGTCGGACCCCTGGCGAGGCTCCCGTTCGAGCGGGGACCCCCAGCCGACGACACGCACCCAGAGCTCACTCCGCCCCCCCTTATCTTGCCGTCGCTCGGACGTCCGTTTCCCGTCGATGTGTCGGTTTCGTGCGTGTTTTTTTCTGCTCGATGGTCCAGGATGGTCCTCGATGGTTCTCGCCGAGAAAATATGCACACGTCCGAGCGATGCCAAGTGATGGGTACGGGTGCGTGCCGATCGCTCAACAATCTTCGCACCCCGGGAGGCGGCCCAGGAGGACGAGCGCCCACGTGGCGTGCCACTCGGGCGAGGCATCCCGCGCTCGTTTCAAATACACGGCAGTTCTTAATACATAGGATTTTTTCAATATATAGGATGTTTAATGCATGACTAATTTGTGAATAAATGTATGCATGAACTCATCGTTGCTTTGAATACTAAATCCCTGCATGTTTAATACATGCTCTGCACGCGGAGCATGTATTAAAAACGGCACTGTACAGTGGGGGCGTTGACCTAAGGAACTCCAAATAAGGAACGAGGCCCCTTTCTCCCATGAGTTGAACTTCGATTTCCCGTGGGCAACCTCAGGAAAACCGAAGGCAAACTGCAGAACAGTCAAGGAACACCGAGCCCCTCCCCAACGAAAAGGGTTCTTTCTTCAGGGCCCCGACTGTAGGAGAACAAACAGTACCATAAACATACAAACTCGGAGGTCCGCGCGGACCTCCGAGTGTTTAGGTTTGTGTCATTATTCGCTCCCCGATCAAAGGGTCCACCATCCACCCTTGTGGCCTTCAAGCCATAAGACACGGGAAGCGGCACGAGGATCGAGTTCAGGTGGTGCCAATCGGCAGCCTCTTGAGCACCATCCGCCCACCATCCACGTTTTTTTTTTTGTTGCTGGCATCCGCGACAACGCCTCGCTGGCATCCGCGACAACGCCTGGAGAGCCCAGGAAGCCTGGAAGAGAGCGTCTGCAACGGAGGGAGGTGCAGGAGCCACCAGACCAGTGCAGGTCTCTTAGGTCGGGCACGTCCTCCCGCAGGCGAGCGTCGGACGAGAAATAAGACATACTTACAACAGCTACCCAGAACTAGTAGAAAGATAATCGAAGACTCGTCACCTTAGTGGGCCCCGGAAACAGCAAGGCAGTTTTTTTCACCGTTTCCAAAAGTGTCCCTTGAAAATGGAAACGGCAAAAAAACGGCGACCAGAAACAGCAAAAAAAATTCAAGGATTGGAACCGGAACCGGAACCGGTCAAGAAACGGCGACGGAACCGGTAAAAAAACAGCGTCGGAACCGGCAAAAAAACTGCAAAACGGAACCAGTAAAAAAACTGCCCTGTCGTTTCCAGGGCTCACTAAGCTCAGAACTAGTAGAAAGAGAATCGAAGACTCGTCACCAGAGCCTGTGTTGACTGGTTCCGAATATTCCTCGCCTTACTGTTTAGTCGGGCCTGTCCCCCTACAGGGGGATTTTTGACGAAAAATAAAAATTACCCCCAACAGCATCAAAACATAATCAAACAATAGTCTGGGAACTATTTTTTGAATAGTTGTGTTAACCGTTTGGGGGTATTTTTGAAGCAGTTTTCATCTTTCGTCGAACATCCTCCTGTAGGGGGGGCACGCCCGACATAACCTTACGGCTCGTCAGAAGACTCCCCGTCCTCCCCGAAGAGCGGAGGCGCCGGCGGACCCTCCCCGCCACGGCGTGAAGGGGAGACGCACGGCTCGGGTACGGGGGACCCGAGGTGGCCTGACTGACGGGGCCATCGCGAAAATGACGAGGACCAGTCTCGGGTCGGGCGAAAGGGGAGGATAGCAAAGGGGAGTTTGAGAATCAGCTCACGTAGCTGATTTTCCCGGCGCCTCCCGGCGCCGGAGGCGCCCATGTATCGAGGAATGGGCCCTTCGGTGGGGCCGAAACCAGCTGCATGCAGCAAATTTCGTAACCCCCCCTTTCCCAATCCCCCCTTTCGTCCGGCCCAGCAATCTGGAATTCGGCGAGAGCTCCCGCCGCAAACATCCCGCGACAAAGGGACCGCCAGCACTCGGGACGCGCCCGTCAGAAGGCGTCGGCAGACCCGAGTCCAGGCTGACCCGAATCGCACGTTTCCCCGAAGCGTGCCTTGACCCCGAAGGAGTGCGCTCGCGGCTCCACGAGGGGGGACCCGGGGGGGTCAGCACGAGGACTACAGGTCGGGCATGCCCCCCTTCGGGCGGATTCTGGAAGAGAGTTGAAACATAGCCAAAACAAATCAAACACAGCTAAACAAGGGGTAGACACATCGTCCCCCTAATAGTTGTTCAAACTATGCTTGAACCATTCCTCCTGTAGAGGGCCATGCCCGACTTGACACAGGGAAGGGGGTCCACGACCCTCGGGCGCGCAGAAGCTCAGAACGGATACGGAGGATGCAGGAGGAGCGCGAGAGAGAACGAGGCGAAGAGGGGGCACGAGACACGATGGAGGGAGGCGACGGCTTTCAAATGCTGTGCGCTGTTCCACATGGGGGGTCGGAGGGAGGGAGGAGGGAGGAGGGAGGGAGGCGGGGGGAGGGAGGGGGAGGGAGGAGGGGGGAGGGAGGATTGAGGAGGGAGCAGGGAGGAGGAGGAGGAGGCGAAGGCAAGAGGGAGGAGGGCTATCCAGAACGACGGGAGGCACATGTTGATCAGGAGGCGAAGCATGAAGAGGACCACGCCCGGCCGGATCCCGCGCAGATCTCCTGTTTCTCCTCCTCCTCCTCATTTTCCGTCCCCCGTCCTCGTCCTCCTCCGCCTCCTCCTCCTCCTCCTTCTCCTCTCTCCTCATCCTCCTCCTCATCTTCGACCTCCTCTTCCTCCTCCTCCTCCTCCTCCTCCTCCTCCGCCGCCCCCTCTTCGCGCTCGCGCCGAGGGCCACTGGGTCCCTCTGGGCGGCGCCTGCCACTCCCTCAAGCAGCAACTAGCCAGGAAGGGGGAGCAAGAGAAGTCGGCCCTACAAAGGGTACTGAGCCGAGCTCTGTACACCGAAGCTTTTTCCGGCCCCGCACTGAGATTCGCATCGGAGAACGGATCCTGGTGTATACGGGATCCTGGTGTAGACATGTTTCGTTGTTTCCCCGGGAACACTGGGAACCAAGTATACTCCACACCACCCCGACGTCGTCCCCGACCCTTGGTTAAAAGCCCTGGGACAATGGCAATGTGCATGCTCTAGTTTCCGAAAGGGGTCAGCAGCATGACGGGGAGGAGGCGATGAGGAGACGGCACGAGCAGCGAGGGTCAGGAACTCGAGGGCGCAAGTCGAAAGAGACCCTGCGGGCAGCGGCGCGGCGCCGAAGCCGGGCGACATCGCCTGGCATGAACAGAAACACTGGCGGACGAACGTCGGAAGCGACTCTCACTCACGCATCGCCGACGGCAAAAGAAAGGCGGCATGCCACAGACGGAAACAGAGAGGAGCACCGACGGCCCGCGGCATTCCCTGCCGAAGCCATCTAGAGAGAACAGAAAGAGCGACGATCGAGCACGGCTCTTGCGCGAGCTGGCCATCGCTCGGACGTCTATTCCCTGTGCTTTTGTCGGCTTCGTGCGAGGTTGTTTCGCAAGATGATCCAGGATGCTCCTGAACAATCCCCGCCGAGGAACAGCACACACGTCCGAGCGATACCAAGCGAGATGGCACGTCGACCCAGCGCGGTAGCCTCCGCGGGCAGCCGACGCGGCACGCCTCCGCTGGAACCGAGGCCGCTCGGCACGCGGGCAGCCCGCGCGCCGACGGCGGCCAAGGCCACCCCGTCGTTGCTGCGTCGAGGGGGGGGTCCCCAGACGGGGTGGTGACCACACCGTGCGGTGAGTCGGTGGGGATCCGGGGTCACCGCACGGTTTTGGGACTCGGGCCCCTCTCCGAGGACGCCTCGGGCGACGGGGGCCTCCGGGGTCCCAGGACCGTGCGGTGGCGGACTGTGCGGTGAGGTCTTGGGGGATTTCGAGGTCACCGCACGGTCTGTCACCGCACCGTTTCGCGACTCCAGAGCGTCGCTCAAGTGCCGCTCCCCCGATCTCAGGGCGGAAGGCTCAAAAGGGCAGACATCCTCAGGCCCCCTTGCCCTCAGGACCCGCCTGCTTCGCGGCAACCGCTCCTGCCGATCCACTGGGCGCCCGGAGTGCACTGCGGGCAACACGTCTGTCAAGATCCACTGCAGCTTCGAGATTCGGGATCCCTTCCCCAGAAATCCGAGGCGCTCTGGATGTGGATACACATCTGCCACCTGGAGGCTCGATGTCTAATCCATGTCCAGCGCGCTTCGGCCTTTTGACGCAGTGGATATGGGTACGAATCGTGCCGGCATGGATAGTCAAAAAAGGACACGGTGCCCACCAGCAAGTGCTGTCCAGAACTGACAGCGGCCGCTGCTGGGCAGGCGACTTGTTCCCTCATGTGGCTCACGTCCGCAGCAGCTCGGACAACGAGCCCTGCTCATA